TATGAAGAAAGATAAACTTGAGGCTTTTATAGGTAAATGGATACAGCTAGAGACCATATTCATAAGTGAAGTAAATCAGACCCATATGTGTGAACAATGTATTGTCTTACTAGTATAAGAACCTGAAAGAGTAAATAAAATCTAAAAGGTACAATAGATATTGTGAAAGGGAAAAAAACTGCTCAAAAGGAAAGAACAACTGCGATGAGGGAAAAGAGAAAAGAAAGAAAGAAAGAAAGAAAGAAGAAAGGAAGAAAGAGAGGAAAAATATGTACATATGTATACACAGGATACACTTGATCTTAGCCAAAAGACTGAAAAGCCATGTATATACAGGGTAGCTGAGATAGTTGTACTACTGATTTCTATTGCTTTATTGAAAGGAACAGTTAATGTTTAATTGTTTGACCAATCTTACATGTCCATATTTGTTTATCTGGGTATCCAGTTTGAAGATAACAATATGTAATACAACAACCATTGTTAATTTTATATCCCCTTATCTGAAATTCTGTACTGCTTTTATTATTTTTGTGTTGTTTTGTTTGTGTCTGTGTGTTTGTTAAAATGTTTTCATTCTTTTATCTTTAAAATAAAATAAATAAAAGCATCCAGAGTTCTTGGCTGCGTTAATGATGGGCATGCTTACCAACTCAAGAGAAAGTCTAGTCCTGCACGATCTGGGATGGTGTATTGTTTTTACTTTTTATGATACATGTTGATATTCAGTCTTGAATATCACTTGAGAGACTACATTACTTGACACACTGAAAAACTAAAAAAGCTTTTCAGATGAATTTTCTACTTTAGCTTCTGGTAAGGCATGAAGGCTTATGTGCCCTTCAAACTCATAGATTAATGTCCTAAACCCTCAGGTGCAGCTTTTGGGATGGGAAAAGTAGCCTATACAAGAGACCACAGAGATTTCAGTGCCCCTTCTGCTATGTGAGGACACAGCAAGCAAGTCCCCCCTGTGAACCAGAAAGCAGGCCCTTACCACACACTTTAATCTTGGACTTCCTGATCTCCAGAACTATAAGTAACAAATTTCTGTGGAGCTTGTGGTATTTCATTACAGCACCCCCAGTGGACTAAGGTGATCTTGCCAATCACAACATATACATTTCTTTACAAGAACATAGCAGAACTTTAGACAGTTTTGGATCTTAGCTAAACAGAAGAATCTTCAAGATTCTAACCATTTGCCTTTAGAAATGCCACTTGAATCCTTTTAAACACATCTGGCCATTGAATAGCCAGCCACTCACAAAAAAACACAACCCATAGAGTCCTCAGTGTTCTGGACCTGAGCGCTTTGCTCAGTCTTTGAAAATGTCCACACTTGTTGTTGGCAGGGGGCAAAACGGCTGAACCAGTGTGAATCTCTGCAGATTGCAGAGCATGGGTGTGGGGGGAGGAGCCTTTCTATACCAATCATTGCTGGATGTTCTTGGGTGCTGACCCTAGGTGCTCTGGGAGACATTCACTCTGTCCGTGCATGTTAGCTTAGGGGACAGTGCGCTCTCTTCTCCAGGGGCTCACAATGGCCCACAGTGGCCACCTGCCGAATTCGTGTTGATTGTATTGTGGTTCTGGTACTTTCTTTCACCACAGGGTCTCCATGCTAGGTAAGCAGTCAACCAGTGAGCCATCCCCAGCCGGGGGTGCATTCTTAAAGCTTTCTGAATGTAAGAAAAATACAAATAAAAGATGGTTGTTCTGCAGGAAAAATCATTTTCTTTCCACTTCTTTAGAAAAGCAAGAGACTACAGAAAAATGAGATAAAAGTCTTCTAAACCTTTTGCAAGAATTGTTCCTATCCCTCATGGTTTTATAACATTGCCTATCGTTCTGTAGAGGAACTCAGAAAATGTGCTTGGGGTGAAATGACTGCGCTAACGGAAGCCCCGGGTCTGTACAATTTGGCGTTCTACATGCATACTAAACACTAGCTGTGCATGAGGCAAAATTTAAAGGAAAAAAGAAACCATCTAAATCAGCATTTCCAGCGTGTTTTTCAGAACCAGAAAAAGAATACAAGAGATCAGCAATTTTCTTCTTTGAGTTGTTCTGTAGGAAAAACAAAAACAAAAACCAAAGACAGCAAAAAACTCTTTAGGTGCAGAGAAATCCTATAGGAAAAAAGCTTGCATACTTTCCTACCTCTCCCCATTTATTTTTCTTTATGGTGCTGGGGAGAGAAGCCAGGGCCTCATACATGGAGACACGTGCTCTACCACTGAGCTACATCACAAGCCCTGTAGTTTTTAAACCTATTATTTCCCAGCAAGTTGGCTGCAAAACTCTCCTTCGTGAAATGTTACATGCTACGTGTACTAGCAACTTGCTGTAACAGAATGACCCAAGGATACACGATTTTAACAATGATTTTATTGCTTTATGTGATATGCAGGGTAGGTAGGAAGACCGATCCACCAAATATTCAGAATTCCTAGCTTCTTCATTTGGGTTCTCCATTATCCACTAGAACATTCTCTTCATCTTTACAGTCACAACTGGGTATCAAGTAGGTAGGAAAAAGATTTCTTTTTGTCTCTTAGAGGCAGGGTCTCTCGATACAGTTTAGGCTGGCCTTGAGCTCACTTTGTAGCTCAGGCTGGTCTCAAGCTTGCAATGGTCCTCCTGCCTCAGCCTCTTAAGTGCTGGGATTACAGGCATGTGCCACCATGCCCAGCTGGTAGAGAAAAGATTGAATGACCACTCGTACATATTTTAAGAACCTGGAAGTGGCATACATCACCTTCTTTCAGACTCACTGGTGAAAGCTTAATGACACCATTACTGGATGGTGGATCCTAGGTAAATTTTTTCCAGGTTTTTGGTATCCTGAACAAAGAATTGGAGCAGCTGGGGATATAGCTCTAGCAGTAGAGCACCTGCCCAGCATAGATGAGTCCCTGAGTTCAAGTCCCAGTACCCCATAAAGAATGGGAAAGACACACAGAAAAAGTGGTGGAAAAAAGAACACTCTGCAGAGTGGGAGTAGGACAGGTGACCAGACTCACAGGAGCCCTCAGGATAAGGGAAAGGGGACTTTTCTTTCTGGAGAAGTGTCTTAATTACTTTTTCTCATTGCTGAGACAAGATATTTGACACCCAAAGTTAAAAGAGGAAAAGTGTATGTGCCTCACAGTTTGTAGAGGTTTCAGTCTATACTCAGCTGGCTCCAAGACAGGGCGGCGTGGCAGGAGGGCATCACAGAGGAGAAGCAGTCAGTGGTAGGGAGGCAGGCAGGCAGGCGAGAGCACATCAGCCTTCTTTCCAGCCCTTATATTTTATGCAGGCTACCTGCTCTAGGGCGAGTGTAGCACTCACACCCTTTATTCTAGCCAGAATTCTGCTAAACCAACCAGTGGACTGATATAGTAATCACACACCCTTCATCCCAGCACCACACACTCTGGTTCCAGTCACCTCTGAAAAGTGCCACTAAGACTGCATGAGGCTTTGGGGGAGGACATCTAGACCCAGTCATAACAGACAAGGTCTGGTTATGTATTCTAGGCTGACCTTGAACTCATGGTGTAGCCCAGGCTGGTTTAGAACCTGCAGTGATCCTCCTATCTCAACCTCTATAGTGCTGGGATTATAAGCATGTGTTATCATGCCTGGCTATGGGAAAGCAGGGGAGGGGGGTCTTTTGTTTCTGAAATTCCTGGATTGGCTTCTCCTTCATGCAAATACGGCAATGGGTTGGTTGTCCTACCAGCAACTCAGCTGAGCTGGTGCCAGATTTAAATTGTTTTATCAAAAGACTGGCTTAGCTTCTTGCCAGATGGAAGTGAAGAATTGAAAATAGCACTTTTTTTGGTTCTGTGTACAGTGCTCAAGACTGCAGAGTTGCCCTGGATCCTGTGTGCTGCACGTGTCCCTGGTCTCCATGACTTTGACAGATTCTACCCTGTTGTTTGACTGCTTTGTCCTAGCCCTAATCTCCTACCTCAACATGATCACTCTTCACTTCAAGAAGGAATAGAAATTGTGGTCCCTAATGAGGAAACCATCTCTATATTATTTCTTTCTTTTTCATTTTTGGTCTTTTTGAGACAGGGTCTCACTATGCAGTTCAGGCTGGCCTTGAGCTCACTTTGTAGCCCAGGCTGGCCTCGAACTTGCAATGATCCTCCTGCCTCAGCCTCCTGAGTGCTGGGATTACAGGCATGCACCACCACACCAGGCTATATTATTTCTTTTTTTGTTTTGTTTTTTTTTTATCCGGTATCTGGAATTGAACTCACAACCTTGTGCTTGCCAGGCAGGCATTATACTGCTGAGCTAAATTCCTAGCCCTCGCTATATTATTTCTTGTGCTATCTATATTTTAATATGTACTATGGTTGCCCAGCAGAGTTGGTACAAAAATCCAGATCTTCCTACTCCTAGTCTAGAGTTCTCATTACCATGCTAGCATTTTAATGCTCAGCCAACATGTATAGAGTCCTCCTGTATACAAGCTCATTGCAGACTGGCTGTACAAGTGACTTTTGCCTTTTTTGGTAAAAAGAAAAGAAAACAAAACAAAACAAATTACAGGTTGGTCAAATAAAATAATTAAAAGAAATAGAAATCATAAACATTGCGATGGTTAATCTTGACAGTCAACTTGACCGGCTTGAAAGTCTCCTAAGAGATTAGTCAAGCATACTTCTGTGTGTATCTGGGTGGGTCACGAGGGCATGACCTTGGGGACTGTATGGTCGCTGGTCTCTTTCTCTGCTCTGTGTTTCTGGCTGTAGGGAGGTGAACAGCTTTCCTCTGCCAAACTCTTCTCCCATGAAGGTTCTGATTTGGAGTCAGCCATGGACCAAAACCTCTGAAGCCATGAGCCAAAATGATAAACCTCTCCTTCTTTAAATTGTGCATGTCAGGTATTTTGTTCCAGCAACAGAAAGCTGACCAACACAGGACTTCTGTAAGAAAATGTGTTTGAAAGAATAATGTTGGGGTGGGAGTTATCTTCAGGCAAGACACAAAATCCAGAATGCCAAAAAAAAATGTTAATAAATTAAGCTTCATTGTAACTAAAAAAGTTTGTATAAAACAGTTTAGGTGAAAATATAAACAAAACTTCAACTCATATAACAAAAGGTTGATTTCCGCCATATACAAACTTTTAAAAATACATAGGAATAACTCAGTGGGAAGGAAATACACAGTTCACAGGAAAGGAAATATGAATAAACAACAAATATATGAAAAGAAACTTACTTTCAGCTTTGGTCTGAAAAAATACAAGTTAAAATGAGATACTTTTGTTTTCTTTTTTGTAGTACTGGTGATTGAATCTAGGACCTCCTCTACCACTAAGCTAAATCTCCAGCCCTTTTTAATTTCAAGACAAAGTCTTGCTAACTTTTGCAGACTGGCCTTGTGATCATCCTGCCTCAGCTTGAGACACTATTTATTTATTTATTTATTTATTTATTTATTTATTTATTTATTTTTATACCAGGAATCAACGTCAGGACCTTGTGCTTGTCAGGCAGGCACTGTGCTGCTGATCTGACTCCCTGGCCCTGAGAGACTATTTTTAAAATACTGAGTATGGTGAGGATATAGGAAAACAGGTACTCTCATCCCATGTTCAAAGGAATATATGTCAATATTAAGGATTCAATTTATAGTAAGTATCAAAATTTTAAAGTAGTGCAATTTTAAGTTGGTACTGCAACTCCAATTTCAGAAATTTATCTCATTTACCCACACAAATGAGAATATATATATATATATATATATATATATATATATATATATATATATATATATATAGAGAGAGAGAGAGAGAGAGAGAGAGAGTGTTTGCTGTTTATATACTTATTTATTTATTTTTTGAGACAGGCTTTCAGTGTAGTCAGGCCACCAACAACAATCCTCCTGCCTCATCCTCCCGAGTACAGGGATTATAGGCATGCACCACCACTCTTGGCTATTTAACTTTTAATAAACTGCCCCCCAATTTTTTTTTGGAGTGACTATATCATTTCTCCCTCACACCAGCAAAGTATGAGTGATCCATTTTCATGAATTATTGACCAAATTAGTATTTTCACCACTATTAATGTAATAATATCTTATGTTGTCTATACCCATTGCTCTGGCTTTTGGCAGTTGTGTGTGTGAGGAGCAAATGAATGAGGCAGAGACCACTTGACAGACTTTTGTGAAGAAAACAAGGCATGCGGTCTATTCCCTGGGTGCAGGCATACAGAGGGCGAAAAGGCCATCTGTAGGGAACAAAGAGAAGCTGCCTTTTTTGTAGAGATGGAGAGAGGGCAGGGACATTAGGTGGGAAGATGTTAATAAACATCTGTGGCCCAAGTTCCCTGGCTGTCTTGCTCCTCAGTAAGCAAAGTCCTTGAGGTGTCCAGTGTAAATTTTTGGGTGCCTTCAGATGTCCTGGGACGTACAAGATTTCCTGTCCTATCTTATCTCCTTTATAACATCCTGTGTTTGCCAAGGACAGCCTCAGTGCTGAGTCTCTGCCGAGAACAATGCCTCTGCTGGTAGACAGGTTGGGGTCTGGGAGAGGCATGTCAGATTTGAGCATAAAAGTGTGGTGATGACATGTACCCACCATTATAATACTTCTCTTTATTTTAGCCATTCCATGTGATATGGGAAAGTAAACTAAACCAATGCCATTTGTGTTCTAATGCCATTTTAAAGCTTAAGTTTCTGTTTCCTTAAGTTTGTTTCTTGTTAATGCTGTCATAGTTACCTAACCCGATACTATCCTATGCTGTCATCAGACTGTTTGTTCCTTATGTGAAATGTTAAACACCTTTGTTCCTTTGTCACATGCTAAGCCCATGCTTTATCATCTTTCTACAGCTGCAATAAATCATATCAGCACCCTGCCTCATAGATCTGGAACTAGACCCGGAACTAGAACTGTATAACCATTCTCCCCTCCTGCCCTTCAGGGTCAGTGCTCGGTCATGTACTGGGTGCCCATCACCAGCCTCCAATAAACTTGCTTGTCTCTGCTTCCAGCCTCTGTGGGTGACTTATTTAAATAAGTGCCTTTGCCACAAAACATGCAGTGACATTTTATTGTGGCTTTAAGTTTTACATTTTCCTAGTGGCTAATAATGTTGAAAAACTTTCCCTGTGTCTATCTTCCATTTGTATACCTCATTTGGTGAAATATGTGTTCCTGTTTTTAAGTATTTTCTAAATGGATATATATATTTTTGGTACCGGAAATCGAACTCAGGACCTTGTGCTTGCCAGGCAGGCGCTATGCCACTGAGCTATATCCCTGTCCCCCTGAGTGGACTTTTTGTTTTTGAGAGTTCTTTATACCATCTAGATACAAGTTCTCTGTTACTCAGGGCTTGTGACTAGTTTCTCCCCATCTGTAAATTGCCTTTTCATCTTCTTAATGGTCATTCACGGAGTCACAATATTACTTTGATGAAATCTCATTTATCAATTTTTTGTTCATGGGTCATGTGTTTGGTGTCATGTGTAAGAACTCTGCTGCTAGCTCTAGTTCCCTGCGTTACTTTCTTAGTGTTGCCATACCAAGTGTGTCACCCCGAATTTGGTGACAAAACCCAGAGAGTTATTTTCACCTTCCACTGGGAGCATAATAGGCATAAATTATTTTCATGTATGTTAATTCTTGTCCTATCGCTCTAAATAAAATAATTATACATATTTCCAAAATTATACATATTTTGCTTTATTCCTTTTTATTTTCGAATAGCTTTGCTTCTTTCTGTGTGAGTTCTTCTATCTGCTGATGTTGTCGTCCTTGGCAGTTCCCGTGTGTTAGCTCTGAGTCCTACACCTGCCTTTTTCTACTTCTTTGTATTCCTGGAGCTGGACGCCTGAAATGACATAGCCTCAGCGCCTTTGCCAGATGGGCTCCAGTTAGATTTTGTGCACCAAAAAACAACTCTGCAAGATTGAAGCAGGGAAGAAAGGAGGAGCCGTTCTATTTCAGGGAGTGTCCCTGACAGTGTAGTGACAGTGGTAGAGATGCCTGCAGAACCAGCAATGTGTGTACCCTCAAAGGCCACAGCCTGGAGCATCACCTCCTGGTCTCTAGGCAATGCCATTTCCCTCCTTTGGCTTCTCCAGCCTTTCTAAAACGATTGTAACAGGCACTTTGGCTAATAGAGTATTTTAGCGTCGAGAATGGTCCAAAGAGTAAATCCAGCATGTGAGTCTGGGATCGCTTACCCAAGAGGCTGGGCTTGAATCAGTGGTGGCCATCTGGCCAGTAAAATGGGTTACAATTAACCCAGTGCAGTGGCCAAGTGGTTAGATGATGTGTAATCACAGCCATGACTTGGTAAGAGATAAAGGCTTATTTTTTTAAAAAGTCAGCACCAAGAACCAAACCCTTGCATGTGCTAAGCAAGTGTCTGTCCTTGACTTAGATTCCCAGTGCAAGACAAAGCCTCCCTTTCCTTTCTTGTCAATTTCTAGGGGTTTGAAAACTAGAGTGGAATGCTGCAGGGTGCCCTTACTGTGCTATCTGCTCCATTTTTCAGTATTATTTTTCAAAATATGGTTGTTAAGCTTAGTTATTTTAGTTAAGGTTACTTTTAAAAATCATGATTAAGCAAAAGATATATGGCAAGGCTTAATCATACTTAAGGGAAACTGAGTCAGCTGGCTCGTTGTATCCATATCTCAAATTCGCATGCTCACAGAGGCTCGAACTATAGCCTTGGATCTAAGAGATGATCGCATTTAAATGGGTATTTCATTCTAGATCATAATGCTGCTGTCCTGGGAAAAAGACTGGCCTCAAGGCATTTCTGATAGAAGGTGTCGCAGTTACAGTCTGGAAACCAGCATGCCACAGAATTGCTCTTTCCACATGATGGCCTTTGTGATGGATGGCAGATTTCCCTGAGGCCTCACAAAATGACAGGCTTTCACAATGTCACTGGCTGACAACCAGACCTAACACAGTCTTGGTGTGATCTTGGGGCCAAAGTCACTTCGCCTTATGCAATAGTTAAAACCTGCTGAATCCAGTTGCATTCCCGTAAGGGCAGAGGAAAATACTTTTATGCCAACTCAAAGCTACCTCAAAGCAGAGCTGGGTGTGGTGGTGCACACCTGTAATCCCAGCACTTGGGAGGCTGAGGCAAGAGGATTGTTGTGAGTTTGAGACCAACCTGGGTTACAAAGTGAGCTCAAGGCCAGGCTGAGCTGCATAGCGAGACCCTGTCTCAAAAAGATTAAAAAAAAAAAATGAAAGCTACCTTGAAGTATGTACATGAATCTTCAGGGCTCAGTCTATCAGGAGGGGTGAAAGACATATTAGAAAACATGGCTATTGTAGTCAGACAGATGTAGGTTCACATCTTGGATCTGTGCCTTGAATAGGTCACTTATGCTGTAAGAGTTCTGGGTTCCTTACTTGTAAAAAGGGAGACAGTCACAGCTGTCTCTACGGGAAGATTGAATATGCTCGTTCATTTATTCACTGATCCAATGACTACTGCTACTTAATTTGTACCAAGTCCTGTTTTAGCGGGGAGGGGATACACTCTTGAACAGACAAAGCCCCGGCTCTACATTCTGGTAAGGAGCAAGAGATAGTAACACAAACCAAAAATAAAAAAGAAAGTGGAACCATAAAAATAAAACAGTGGTGTAACTGAGGGTTGCTGTAGTTGCTCTCTGTTTTCTCCTTGGTGCAATCTGCCCACTAAACTGTGTATGGCTTCATTTCCACAACCTCCTGCCTGAGCTGGTGGCCCTTTGAAAGGATCTCACATCTCCACTCTCTCTGCCTCACCATGACTTCCCTAGAAATATTTGCACATTAGGAGGAGGTCAAAATTATAGATTAGATTTTCACTTTCTTTATGGGTGGGCAGTGAAGCTCTGTGGGGCCAGTGGGGAGCAGATAGATGCGTGTCCAGCCTCTGCCTGGGACTATTCTGTTTCTGAACGTCTCATGAAATTTGCTAGTGGCACCCAAATCTCTGCTGGGGTCATCAGAATTTCTGCCTTGCAAGAACTGGCTCAGATCCTGGCCCTTCAAAAATAAAACATGGGTTTGCCAAGAGAGCCCTGGGTATTGAATGCTGTCACCGCAAGCCTAAGCCCTCGAGGAATACCTAAGCAGGTGGCAACTCTCAGTCCAGCGGGCTGCTGCCAGCGCACACTGGGTCCCCAGTAAGCATGTTGAAGGTGCTGGCAGAAGGGGGGCTCTTTCTCTGTCTCTCTCTTACACACACACACACACACACACACACACACACACACACACACTTTCTAAAACTATCCTGAGATTTACAACCAGGAAAATTTGAAAGATAGTGTTCCAATATCAAATTTTATGTAAGTTTTTTTTTTTTTTTCTTAGAATTACCCAAAGGCCATAAGATTTTAGAATTCAAGACCTCTAAATTCCTTGAACTAGCCAGGCCTCACGTCCACACACCTCACTCTCAGAATTCATACACAGGTCTTTCCTAAGTAGAACATCCAGGGCAGGGAGCAGAGGATGTGTTCTATTTCCTCCTTAGCGCAACCCGTTGGGTAGTTCTTCCTGAAATGCTTGATTTATGAACCACAAGCTCACACATAATCCTGCTCAGCGAGCAGGGGTGTGATGCGATCAGCAGTGTCCCTGGCTTATTAGGGTAAATGTATGGGAAAGGAGGTCTCCTGGGCCATAGGAGGAACTTTCTCCTCACATATAAATCTGGGGAGAGAGATCCGGTTTTCCTGTTGTGGTCTTTAACCTTGCCCCATTTTCTGTTGCTGTGGTAAAAGGAAAAAATAAAGGCCAAGGTCTGGGAACCGGAGTGTTCTGACCGAAGCTCCACTTGGCTTCCCAAACCCAAGCTGGGTTGCTCCATGTTCTCTGGGGTGGAGACTCAAGGCAGCTGCCAGGGACAAGATGCCTGCCCATTGGTTTCTGGAACTCAGTGGGCTGGCCAATGGGAAAGGCCAGTGGTGGGGTGGGGACTGCCTGCCCCCAACAGTGCCAGGCTGTGGAGGTTAGGACCTCTCCTCAATTCCATCCCGACTGCTGCCGGTGGGTCTGAGTCCACAAGAGAGGGTAAGAGCAGCTCCAGGTTCCAGCCTGGGTGGGGGTGGCTGGATACGCCCAGGTTTTCCTGCCTGTGACAGCATGAGGATGGATACGGGCACAACTCAAATGAAGCCAGGTGGATATAGGGTTTCATTCTCAATTTGCCAGAGCTCTAAGAGAGAAAAAATTGTTCCTTCTGGTCATATTGCCTAGGATTAACCTGAACCGTTCACAGCTTGCCTGGTGGCAGGATGCCTATGGAGAAAAAGGTTGGCGTCAGCCAGATGGGAGGGTTCATCTACAGATGGGAGTCCAATGGGGGGGAAAGGAATGCATGGCTTCTTAGCTTGACCAAGGGAAGGGGTACAAAGAGAGGCAGTTTGGGAAAAGCCGCAGTGAAGTCTGCTCTTAGACTTGAGTTTAGATCCCGTTCAACCAACTCAGTAAATATGTATTGAGGAGATGCTACAGGCCAGACACTGCGTTTGGGAGATACAAGCGTGAATGTGGAATTGTAGGTTTGGGGGTATGTGCAGCTATGGGAGTGTCCGACAGGATGATTGAGGGACTCAAGTGAGACAAAGAGAGAAGAGGCTGGCATGGAGTGGGGGAATTTATGGAAAATCTTATTTTTGAACGATGTTTTCTTATAGAAGCATTGGCCTTTGTGAAGCCCAGTCCTCCATGCCCCATGGAGCTGCGTTTGTGGCTTTCTGGTGGTTTCCAGCTGTAGAAGCAGAGGTCAGAGTGGGAGGGATTTTAGGAGTCCGGGCAGCCCCTTCTGTGTGGGAAGACATGGTTCTCTGGTCTGGATAGGTTCTGGTTTTGGAATCAACTTCACAAGGGGCCCAGCTGAATTTCTTCTTCAGAACCACATTAGGAAGAGGGCTGGTTCTGTCTGACTGGTTTGGGGAGCAAGGGGGTGCTTTGTGTTAGTAAGGGTATGCTCAAAGGAGCATGGTGGAGCCAGCCGGCTTCTTACAGCAGAGCAGTAGAAAGCAAGCACTGTGCTTCGTCAGCAGCCCCTGTGGCTACGCCTCCTTGCGCCCAGTGAGGCTAACAGAGAGACACAGGACTCACCCCTTGTCCTTTTTAAGGTGGCTGTGGGGACAAGCTTTCTACTTACTCCGCATCAAGCCAGTGGTCTCAGACAACTGGCTGAAGTGAGGAAGTGATGTTTTGGGGAGAGCAGAAGCTTTGAAGCAGGAATTCCTTCAGATGGAGAGAGACATATCCTCAAAAGTGCAGCGGAGGAGTGCTCTGCCTCCCCAGCTCCTGGAGAGTACAATACGTGTGTGTACGGCTGTGTGTGTACATTTGTGTGGTGTGCATGTGTATGTGCATGGGTGTGTGTGTGTTTGTGTGTGTTGAGAGTGGGAATACTGACAGCTCTCCCAAGGCTGGCTGAAAGCTTTTAGATACTCTTTCTAAGAGTCAAAAAAACCTGAGTCAATTCCCGATGATGGGAATTATCTTTCACCATTTCCCAATGATGGGAATTATCTTTCACCATGTGAAAATGCCCGGATTCTGCCATTTTGATTTTTGAAAATGGCAGTTTCGTACCATGTAGCCTCATGGCTGTGTGGTCTCAGAGCCGACTTTTTGCGTCTCTGGTTCTCTTCTACAGTACAGTCAAAAGCAGAAGTATGGGAGGATGAAATGAAAGGCTTAAAGCGCTTCATGCAAATTATGAGTCAAAGAATGTTCACCAATTTCTGAGCGTTCTCACGTTTCTCATCTCACCTGACCCTCTTAGCAGGTTAGAAAGCTGAGGCCACGGAGCTCTGTGTAATAATTTTAGTGGCAGTGATGGAAGGACAAATGTTTGGGAGTCAGAACAGGCTCCTCTCACGAATCATTTCCTTACTCTCGGTTTCCTCATCTCTCAAATGTGAATCTTGCTTCTTCTCGTTTGCCTTCCCATTTATAAAAGCAGAGCAGTAGTGCGATGATTTCTGGGGTCGCTTTGACTCTGGGTTTTGTGTTTGAGCGTTGTTTTTTCCCTGCTGGAGGAGTTGGCACCGAGCTTGGTGAACCTTCCCCCACACAGCTCTGTCTCTTGCTGATCGCAGAGGGGACCCAATTCTTGCATTTCACAAGATTCTGCTGTTGATACTGAAATTCTAGGAGGTCAAAGTGGAATTTCTCATTCATTGTAATGTGACCATGAAATCTCATACAACGGCCCCTTAGGATCCCAGAAACATCATGACCACTCCCTCGTATAATTTTAAAAGGGACCGAACCTTGCTTGTGCAAGGCTTTCCGGGAAGGCCAGTGCAGGGGAAAGCCAGTGTGGTGATTTCATTTCACATCATGCCTCTTCCTGCTTTCATGTGTGATGCTGGGGCAGAAATTACCGAACCTCGTTGGTCCTTGGATTTCTCTTGTAGCAACTGAATTCTACTCCCTGGTGCTGGGTGGGTAAAATGAGATTCCAAGGATGGTAGCTCCAAAGCAGTGATTCATAGCAGGTGTTCCTAAAATATTTGCTTTTCTTCTCTCATTCATGTGTGGAGTACTTTATAAGTTTATATAAAATACTCTTTATGTTTTCTACCAATTAGTTCTCAAAACAATATTTTAAAATAGGCTAGGCAAGCATTAACATCTCACATTTATAGGCAAAGAGCATGAGGTCAGAGAGGTGGATGGTGGTAGCTAAGTTACCCGGAGAGGGAGGTGGAGCTTAGCTGAGAAGCCAGGTCCCTTGTCCCATAATCTGTAGATTTTTAATGGTTTTTTTTTTTTTTTTGGTTTTGGTTTTTCTCCGGTACCGGGAACCGAACTCACGACCTTGCGCTTGCCAGGCAGGCGCTTTTGCCGCTGAGCTAAATCCCCAGCCCCTTTTTAATGTTATTTTCTCTCCTGTTCCCATCTCTGTCCTACAGTGAGGCATACTGGAGGGCAGGGTGTGTGATCACAATGCTTTTCTCCTCCTGTGAACTCTTGAATGTTGAAGAGTCTGTTATTGGGTTCAGAAAGACCAGAGAAGTTGACTTCCATCTCCTCTTTGTTCAGCGCTGGGGTCTTTAAAACGTCGCTTAACTTCTCTGACACTCCCTTTCCTCACTCATAAGATGCACGCAGCCTTAGCCAAGGTCTACTGATCAGTGCACGTGCCAGGCAATGTGCTAAGCATCATGCCATTTAATCCACTGATAAACACAGAGGGTTGAAACACGTTGAAAGAACAAATCATTTACTGCTAAGTACTGTATTAAGATCCTAGAGTTATGCTTCCTGCACCCCACATGGCCTCTCAAAATAGTTCTAAGAATTAAATGAGATATTCAGTGAGGTAAAGACTGTAAATAGCCTTCTACAAAGGTAAACAATTATAAGACTTTAGCTCAGGATTCACGTAAATTTTTCCTTATAGGCCCAATGTCGTCTTGTATATCATTTATTGTCCTCAGTTTTATTAATTAATTAATTATTTTTTTATCCCAATATGTGGCTTTGACATTTTATTTTTAAAATTTCCTTTATTTATCTATTTTTATTATTTTAAAGGGAAAAGAAGAAAAACAAAATAACAAAAAGAAGTCAAGAAACAAAAGAACACAAAGATGATAAAAATGACACAGAACTTCAAAACAAGATGATAGGACATTAACAATTGTTGTACTGTATATTGTTATCCTCAAAGCAGTTGCTCAGATAACCAGATATAAGCATGCAAGATTGGGTAAATAGGGGCTGGGGATTTAGCTCAGCGGCACAGCACCTGCCTGGCAAGCGCAAGGTTATGAGTCAATTCCCGGTCCTAGAAAAAACCACACACACAAAAATTGATCAAACAATTGGACATTAGTTGTTCCTTGCAACAAACCAACAGTACAACTGTCTTAGCCATCTTGTGTGCACACATATAATTTTTCCCTTTTCTTCCTTCCCTCCTTTTTCTCTTCCCTCATTCCAGCTATTCTTTCCCTTTCATGATATCCATTGCACCCTCCAGATTTTATTTACTCTTTCAGGTTCCTCCACTAGGGAGATGATGCGATGTTTATACATCCGATTTATTTCACTTATGCATATGGTGTCTAGTTGCGTCCATTTACCTATAAAAGCCTCGAGTTTATCTTTCTTTTTAGCTGCTCAGTTTCATTTAATACCATTTTCCTTTGTAGAAATAAAAGGTCTTTCAAAGTCAAGTAACAATTTCTTTATCTGAACAGAGAACAGAAATGGTTCGGAAAGAAATTGCTTTTGAAAACCAGGACTCTCTGCCCTGAACTTTAACTGTGATTAGCTGCTGATCCCCCGCTGCAGAATACCTTACAATGCAGCCTGCTTCTTCAACCAGAATCTGCTCATAGCGTCGGAAAGGTCTCAGGATGGTGTGCTACCCTGTCTCTCCACTTTTCGGGCTTTTTACTTCCTGCCACCCGCGTGGAACCCAGACTGACTGTACGGGAGAAAACAGCGCGTAACACTGAAGTGTTAGGTGCAGAGGGTCTTCCTTTGGGTTGGGAGAAGAGGGTCTCAATATTTGACAGAATGAGAAGAACCAGAGAATTGTAGCGACCTCCTTCTTTGCCTTCTTCAAGTTTGAGCAGGGTAAGCCCCAACACCCTTTTTCTCTTTTTGTCTTTTTGAGACAGAGTCTCGCTAGCCGTTCAGGCTGGCCTTGAGCTCACTTTGTAGCCCAGGCTGGTCTTGAACTGGCAATGATTCTCCTGCCTCAGCCTCCCAAGTGCTGGGATTATGGGCGTGCGCCACCACGCCGGGCTCACCCTTTTATCTTCAGAGTCCTCCACTAGTGCACGCATTCTGCATCCTTCTGTCTCCTTATGGAGAAAACCATAACCTCTCCGATTTTTTTCATCCTCATATTTGGGGAAAACTAGCACAGACCCAAAGTTCTCACGAGCTTTATTGCTAAAACTAAGGAAGAAGGGCAGAGATGACAAACAGTGGCAGAGTCCACTGACACGTGAAACCTTAAGTCTCTGAATAAAGCTCCCTCTCTACAAAAAGGGATTCTCTAGTCTCTCCGTCCGGGCTTCTCATCTGACTCACCTCGTTGTTATCTTGGAGCTAGCCAAGCCGAGGTTTCCTCTCAATATTATTTCCGGCGGGCTGAGAACACTCTCCCGAACCTTCCACATCCAGTAGAGGGCGACAAAGGCACACAGAGATGATTAGAGCAAGTCGGGAACAGGGTCTCCTACCCTGGAGCAGCAGCCGGGGTCTCCTGGGCTGTGATCTGCGCTTCTCTTTCTCCTTCCTCCCTATCCGCCAGTTTCACTTCCAATTCTTACTTATAAGACGACACTACAACTGGATACATGATAAATGATACGTCATATCGATAGTAATTTACTTAAAGCGTTTAAAGAGCTGCTCTTCAAGTAGGGAAAAATCACCGGTTAGAGCATGATCAGAAAAATCAGAAATGTTATAAGGAATGAAAATTTAAATATATCAAATGATAAGAGAAAGGAGGAAATAAAATATTTACCAAATCCCAGCTTGTATTAGGGACTGCTTAACAGTTGGACAGAGAAAAATATCAACAGAGATGGATAAATAAAAACTAGAATTTCTGCGTATATAAAATCAAGATTAGTCTATAAAATGGTATTACACACACTAGAGAGTATAGTTACATGTATGACACGGTGTTGAGAGGTCACACAACTCCATTTAAAAATATATCATGTTCTTTGTAAATTGGGTAACAAAGGACACTCATAGAGATATTATGAATAAGGGGATTAAATTAGGAAATAGGCCTTTAACAACATGTGTAACTCATAATGACTGAATAATACAAACTACAGAAGTGAGGTAACATTTCTTTTGCTCACTAAGCTAGCAGCAACAAAATGTTTTTATGGTAATATCCAAAGCTAGTGAGATTGGGTCAGATGGGCCTTTTTGTACACACATTAACATGCTATTGGATGGTAGCATTACAGAGTCTGGTATGGGAATCTGTACCAAGAGACTTAAAAATATTCATACTCTGCCAGGCCTGGTGTTGCACGCCTATAATCCTAGCACTTGGGAGGCTGAGGCAGGAGGATTGACTCAAATTCAAGGCCAGTCTGGGCTTACAGGGTGAGACCCTGTCTCAAAAACAAAAACAGAAACAAAAACAAGTCATATTATTTGGTTCAATAATTTACTTCTAGAAATATATCGTAGTGGAATAATTTTTGAAAAAATTATACCTAAGGATATACCTATACCTAAAGATATAATACCTATATACCTAAGGATGTTTAAATATTATTTTGAAATCAATATATAAAACATTTTGTTAGGGCCAGGGATATAGCTCAGTGGCACAGTGCCTGCCTGGCAAGCATGAGGTCATGAATTCAATTCTTGGTAAAGAAATAAAACACAAAAAAACCCCTAAAACCCAAAACAACAACAAAAACAAAAATAAAACATTTTGTAACAGAATATAAAATAACATTTTAAAATGGAAATAAGCTAAAAGTTCAACAAAATAGAAATGGTCAAGTATAATTTGGCTATGTTCACTTTAAGTATGTACTGTGCATACTAGCATACAGATATTTGAAGTGGTGATTACAAAAACTAGGAAATCATGAAACAAAAATAGAGGAATAAATTTCTATGTGGAGTATGATTTCTGCTATGGTTAAAAATAGAGAACTTCTTAGGGTTAAGGATTTCTTTCCTTTAAAACTTTTAAAAAAATTTTATGAGGATTTCTTTCTTTGCTGTGGTTTCCAAAAAGCTTATATAATATCACACACACACACACACACACACACACACACACACACACAAGATATAGATGAAAGGTGTATTGATTGCATCACCTTTATGGGGCAGCACGGAACCCCAGCTAATGGGGCGTAGAATGAGATTCCCGGAATCGTGTACACCTTTGGGGACAGATTACCAAGCAGAATTTTTCCTACATCTTTGTTAGAGGAGCAGATTTGTCCTAAAATATAGTTAATTCTAGTGCCTTCATGTAATCTAGACAAACAACTGGATGCAAAATAGTGAGCTTGTGGGGTAAAATAATGCACATGGAGTACATTTTGTTTAGCGTCAGGTTCTTGAAATTAACTGAACCGAATAGGGCCTCAGGGTTGCCTCTGATCCAGGATTTTAGGACTTCTTTCCATCTCTGTGATGCCGTGTCCCAATTTCTTGTTGAGAGAAGCACAGATAGAGTAAGATGCCTGCAACCAGATTTGGGGGTCTATAATCATCCTCAGGTCAGAGCGGAATCTAGGAGAGCACCAGCACCTTATGCCTGCGTTCGACCCTCGCTGGGAGGCACTGCGGGTGGATGATGCGGGGACTGGAGTGTCCTGGCCGCACACTCCACTTGTGCTTTTTTCTGGGGCTCCCAGAATCTATACTTCAAACACCCCTCATCCTCCTGCCTTCCTTTTTCTTCTGTTTTCCTTTTTCCCTTCATTTCTCCTCCTCTTCCTTTTCCTTCTTTCCCTCCTTCTTCCTGACTCTATTGGGCTAGTTCTGGTTTCATTGCAGACATACTTCCTCAGTGCCTGCTCTGTGCTGGTGGCATGCTGGGCTTGCACTCTGGTGCTAGATGTCAAGTAGGGACACAGGCGAGCAGAGGAAGTATTAGTGTCCAGTGTGTGTCGGGGAGATAATAGAGGTCAGTCAGGGAACTGGGGAGAGGAAGGAGGAACGACCAACCCAGGGGGCAGAGGGAGGACAGGACTTCCTGCAGGAGGTGCCATCCCAAGTGTCCTGAAGTCTAAATAAGCACTAGGAGGGTGAAGAGGAGCGGCTGAAGGTGGCCCAGGTGAAAGATCAGTAGATCAGGGCTGGGGATTTAGCTTAGCGGCACAGCGCCTGCCTGGCAAGTGCAACATCTTGAGTTCGATTCCCAGTACCGGAAGAAAAAAGAAAAAAAAAAAAAAAAATCAGTAGATCTTCCTATGGGACAACATATCCCCGGTTGCCTGCTTAACTCAAGGCAAGGGTTGAGTTGTGTGTGTGTGTGCACGTGTGTAAAATATACCAATGGTAAAACCTGTGAGCCAGGAGAAGTGAAGAGAGGGAAATAGAATGGGAGAGAAAGGAGGAGGAACAGACACCGAAAACGAAAGACAAGTTGAGAGAGGAGAATAAAGCCGCCAAGGAGAGGGAGGGTGGTTAGAGTGGAATGGAGAGAGATCTGAGTAGTGAAAAACTCAAGGGTGGATTCTTGGAAAACTGACGCTTGGAGCTTTCCCTGAGACTGGGCCTGAGGCTGGGGAGAGGAGGGCTGGCGCGCCATCGCTAAACTCACAATTCTGCAGAGGAAAGGTGACTGCTCACAGAGACTCATCGTAAGCATTGCAAATTTCAGACGGAAAGAGATCAGGGTAGGCTGGGCGGACAGAAAAGTCTTCCTGGAGGAGGTGAGTATTGAGAGCAGTTTTACGAGTGGGCTGTGCTGAGCTGGATTGAGCGCGGGCAGGTCCTGAGTGGGTGTGCGGCGCGGCTCTGCCTCTCCGTGGCTGACAGCGCACACGTGCATTCCAGGGCTCAAGATGCTAGTGCTGCGAGCTGTTCTACTGCTGTTAGCCCTGCCCAGCCATGCCGAGGAACCCCCTCCCGCAGAGGCAGAGGCGCCGCTTCCGCTACCCAAGGGGGCCTGTGCGAGTTGGATGGCAGGCATCCCAGGGCATCCCGGCCACAATGGGATCCCAGGCCGAGATGGCAGAGATGGCACCCCCGGAGAGAAGGGTGAGAAAGGAGATGCAGGTAAGAACAAGACTTGGCATCCTTTCATCACAGCTGCTCCTGGGTGGAGGAGGCCTCAAAGGTTTGGACACAGGAAGAGAGCAAAACTTTTTCGTAACACATAAGCAAACTAGAATGGATGTAGGATTGGTTTTCCTGGGAGAGGTTACGTAGTGCCTCCCTATCCAGGTACACTTGGACCCTACTCTACCTGCGTCTTCTTCCCCATTTCTCCTTCCCCATCACCTCCCCACCCCTATGCCCAATATGTTCACACTATTCTCCTTTCCTCCTCAATCCCTGTTTCATCCAGTGGCATTGAGACACACTCACCACATACCCCAGCTTTTGAGGGCCCTTGGTTCTAAAGTATAAGACTTTTAGTAGTCACTACAAGAAAATCTACTCCAAGTGTGCCAAACTGAATGTGAATAAATGCCCCAAATCACACATGAAACAAAAACACAAAAGCAATAACAAAGCCAACCAACCAAACAAAAAAACCCAAATGCCCAAAGTGTAGGACACAAAGAGAATGCACTCTGTGCAGATCTGGGTTAGCCACGCAGCGTCATGCGGGAGGCAGCATTTGAGCCAGGCCTTGAAGGATGTGGAGGCAGAACAGAGGAAAGGTCACTGTGGACAGAGAGCAAAGAGGGTGAAGCTGCGTTTGGCTGAGCCAGCACACAAAGCGGTGGCAGGGCAGAGGGTCTCTAACGGAGACTTGTAGGTTGGAGGTGAATGTATGGGAACTTGCTGGGCTGTGGAAAATATTGAGAGATACTTGACAAATGAATTAAGGAGTAACTGAATGAGTAAATGGACGGATGATGTTCAGAACACTGGCTGATCATAACTCAGAGCTTTCACCAGGCCAAACAGTGCAAAAGTCAAACAGTCAATGAGCGTTCAGGAGAGTTAAGAGATTGACTTTATTAGCTTTGAGGATTCTGAACATTATTTGTCTATTTACTCAATCATTCACTCACTCACTCATTCATTCATTCATTCATCAAGAGCTCTTTTCAAGATATTTTTATTAGTGCATGCTAATTTTACAAAATGTTGGGTTTTATGTGGCATTTATACACACACACATGACATATTTTGGCCCTACTCATTCCCTGTTACTCTCCTTTAAGGTTCCCTTCCCTTCATTCCCTTTGCTTTGTCTAACAGAGCCTTGTTATAGGTTGGAGGTGAATTTGTGGAAAGCTGCTAGTCCGTGGGAAATGTGGAGAGAGGAGATGACGTCTCTCCTCGCTCTGTCAGGCATACTGCAGTTGGAGGTCTCAGAGACAGTCCTATTCCTTGTGGTCACTGAAGTCTTCTTATTCTCTAGGTCTTATTGGTCCTAAAGGTGACACTGGTGACCCTGGAGTGTTTGGGGCTGCAGGTCCCCGAGGCTTTCCAGGAACCCCAGGCAGGAAAGGAGAACCTGGAGAAGGTGCTTACGTGTACCGCTCAGCATTCAGTGTGGGGCTGGAGACCCATGTCACCGTCCCCAATGTCCCCATTCGCTTCACCAAGATCTTCTATAATCAGCAGAACCACTACGATGGTACCACAGGCAAATTCCACTGCAGCATCCCTGGGCTGTACTACTTCTCCTACCACATCACAGTCTATCTGAAGGATGTGAAGGTCAGCCTCTTCAGGAATGACAAGGCTGAGCTCTTCACCTACGACCAGTACCAGGACAAGAATGTGGACCAGGCTTCTGGCTCTGTACTCCTCCACTTGGGTGTGGGTGACCAGGTCTGGCTTCAGGTGTATGGGAATGGAGACAACAGTGGACTCTATGCAGATAATATCAATGATTCTACCTTCACAGGCTTCCTTCTGTACCATGATATCACTGATCCCTCCTAATTTAGATCCTCCATCAGTCCACACAGCCCAGAAGTCAATTAAATCTTTCAGTCAACAAGCTTTCAGCATAATTAAGAGATTGATTTTACTATCTAGTCTGAAAGTTCTGAATGTTATCTGTGCATTTAGTCATCCATCCATGCATGCATGCATCCATCCATCCATGCATCCATCCATCCAGTGCCTTTATCTAAAAATCACATACTGCATTCCCAGTCCCCGTCCCTCCAGGAGACCCATGACCCCGTCCCTCCAGGATCTCTTATGTAGTAGCAACATTGGACAGTAATAACATTTATTGGTGGGCTTTGTATCAATGATATGGTAACAGCTACAAGGAAGTAGTTAAAAATGCTATTTTGTGCCTCTCCATTCATGCCAATCCTGCCAGGCACCTGGGAAAGATATTGTTCTCCTTTTCACAGTTGGGGTTGAGACAGTAAGTGAATGTTTCAGGTCACACACAGGTATTAAGTGGCAGAGCTAAAAATCAAACCCAGAATCATGGGCTTTTCCCACTAACTGTGCCCTTTATGTAGAAGTACAAAAGGTTAGGGGTAATGGTGCTCTCCAGAACATTCTTCCTCAAAGCGTTAGCTTGAGCTTGAAACACAAAACCTACACAGTACATGGCCTCTTTGGAGTCTCAGTAGGGATCTGTTCCCCACCTTGACCGGGGGCCTCTGAATTTGCCTTTATCAAGTTAAAAGTTTTCCCCAGCAGAGCTCTCTCAGAGAAGGTGGTGCTCTGAGGATTTGCTGGACTACTCAATGGCCCCTGACCTGTGCTGCAGTTTTTCTTCCCTGTGTCTCCCCTCGCGCTGTTTTTTCCAGCAGGGAAAACAACTTTCACTTCCCTATGTTGAAACCCTCCACGTTCCCCAGGGTCTCCTGGCTAGGAGCTTCCATGATGTGCTCCTGTCTTAATTACTTTCTTGTCCCTCAGACACAATACCTAACACTCACAACTTAAAGAAGGAGAGGTTTATTTTGGATCATGGTTCACTGCACAGTCAGCTGGCTCCAAGGCAAGATGGCCTGGCACAGGGCAGGACAGAGAAGTCACTGCTCACCTGACGCACAGACAGGAAGCAGAGACTGAAGGGAGGAGCTGGGAGGCAGAGGAACCCTTTGAGACCACACCCCCAGGGACCCGCCTCTTCTGACCAGACTCCACCTCCTAATAGCAAGTCAGCTACATGTCCCCATAATCCAGTCACCTTCCAAAAGTCCCACCTATGAGTGCATGAAGCTCTTGGGGGACATCTGTACTTCCAGTGCTTCTCTATGTTTAGCCATTGCTGAGAATGCTGGGTGCGAAGACGTCTACCCTGAGAGGAGGGGCAACTCTGTGGTAAGGACAGTGCTTCCCTCACCTCTGAATCTTTCACAGGTCCTTAACACATGCCTCATGAAGGCCAACCTCTTGCAACACATGTCTACCCAGAATTAACTCCACTTCAATCATTCCACATAACCAATTTTTATCTTGAAAAACACTGCCATTTTAGGAATTTCCTGGTGTTAGACATCCCATTTTTGTTCACATGGACAGCTTGAATCTTTCCCACTGAGGTTAGGATAATTGGACTTTCCAGAACATTCTCCCTCAAAGATTTTGAGCTTGAAACACAAAACCTACGGAGGAATTTGGAAGCCATCTTTCCATTGGTACTGACAAGTTCAGGGAAGATTTGAGCCTCTTGAATTTCTTCTTCTTTAGGAGTTACAAGTGGCTGATGGTGGTAAACTGTCTCAGGAGATAATGGCATGAGTGAAGTTCTTCAAAGACTTTAGACAGAGCAGAATTAATAACAATAAATGAATATAGGAGTGCAAAATCTTTTTTTTTTTTGCTTATAGTCTTCAGTACCAGATGATTCCCTTTTATATGTGTACTGCTATTCATTATGTGATTATTTCTACATATAAGGCTTTGTCATTTAAAGTGATTTCATATCATTGTTTTTCTGCAAGTAAATATACTGTCCAATATTAAAAATAAAAGGACTTACTGCACATGACTTTTGTTTTTATTTCTGGAGAAATGTCTGAGGTGTAGAAAGGGATGAACTTTAGTTAGGACTCTATGTTCTGAATGTCGGAAAACCTGAGAAGACTGGATAGAAGACACCATAACTGTCCCGTGTTTCCAAGAAGCCCTGGTGAGTATGTCCTGATGTGTCACTGCCTCTAGTCTGGTTGTGTGCTTGTCTGACCAATCACTGGAGCCCGGAGCACAGAATATATTTACTTACTAAAGGGTCAGTGTGTGATTCAAGACAGGGGTATTCAGAGGTATTTTCTCTAAAACAAGAAGTGCTTTACTAGAAGTAGGAGAATGGGTGACAGAATCATTAACACCAGTTCACAACAAACTCTTAATGCTATCGTTGAACTTTCTCAGGCTTCTGGGGGTGATGTCATGAGAGAGAGACAGAGAGAGAGAGTGAGTTGGAAAACTACTGTTGACTTTCTCTAAAATTTCCACAAGTAGCTAATGTCTGGCCCGGCTCATGGCCCCTATCCGGCCACAATACTGAGGTGGGGCTACACCCACCCTAAACTCTCTGGGACAGGTTACTTATTTGGAGGAACCAAAGGCACAGAGAGGATCAATCTACAAAGCACCTTCTGAGAGAAATCGTGGCCAAGATTTTAGCAAGAATGGTCCTATGATGTCTTTAAGTACAATTGTGGATTTGTCTGTTTCCTTTTCGCTCTGACAGCTTTTGCTTTGTGTTGTTTTGAGGCTCTGTTGTTAGATTTATACACCTATTGATGAATATACTCCTTTATTACTATATAATGTCCTTTATTTCTGAAAA